CAAAGTCTGAGTAATTGTTTACATGTCTTCAGTTTATTCCGATAACTGTTTATCGTTCTACAGCTTACTTACAGCGCGCAAAATCTTTATTAATAATAATACAATTTGTAATGACAAACAATATAGTTTATCCATAGAAATAATAGATATCTGTTATTTCTATGAGTTCACCATTATCAGGATTTTGGTTTTTCTACTGCTACCGTGCTCCGTTTTCCGTGCTCCGTTTTCCGTGCTCCGTACTCGGTTTTTTTAATAATTCAAAGCTAGCCTGCTCGTACTCGTAGCCCGCTGCTCGTAGCCTGAAAATTATGCCAAATTATTCAAGACAGCCACACATATCACTGAGGATCACAATCACTGAGCTGTATAATAACTGAAGGACCTGCTCCTATACTTCGTTCAGTCAACCAAGTGCAGTGAACTCTATATATATATATATATATCTGGAACGATAACATTCAGTCATTTGATTGCGAAAAAAATGAAGCCTCGATACCAGTCTTTCACGCGGATTGGACGTCAGTCTCAGTCCCTCAAACGTCAGGCTTACGCGGATTGGACGTCAGCTTCATTCCCCCTCTGCAAACCGTTGCACGGCCAGTATAAATTTGAACGCAATCACGAAAAAAAATTAAAAACATGGCCAACTCAATGCAATACATTGTAGGAGCAAACAGTTTTTCTCCTAAAATTTACTGCATTGTCAGTCAAATATATTTATTGAGAACATTACATTATATAATTAATATTATATATAATTATATATAATTAATATTATGTATAATTAATATGAACTCAAATGGCATAAGCACAAACGAGACGCGAAGTCCCATGCAAGGTGCAAACCCCGAAGCAGCGAATACGTACATAAATATAAATACACACATACATAAAATACAAATATATAAAAGCCGCTTCCCCCTATTAGTATGACCATGAACGCAACCACCTGAATGCTTCACGGATGTGTTAGCAAAATAATTTCAAACTCACAAGCATAATGAATGCTTCACGGATGTATTGCAGGCATAATAATTTCAAACTCACAAGCATAATGTGGTTGCATTCAGTGAACACAATAAGAGGAACCGTCTATTAAAACTACTTAAGATCTGTGGCAGGTGCAGTCCCGCACGAGTGTCCAGGTGCATGGCATGTCCACGTCAAATGTTGCCGTAAGCAAGTTAGCGTAAGTGGCTTTAAGAGATCTTTTGAAGATGGAGAGGCTGGCAAAGGTGGTAGAGGGAAGAATTTTGCAGACGTGGTTCCATAATTTGACAAGCCGGTTGAAATATGAGGATTGAAATGTTTTGGATTTACAGAAAGGAATTTTGAGTGTGAGAGAAGGATTTTGACTAAGTCGTGTTCGGCCATTGTTGACAAATGAAACGAAACTATGCACGTGAAGATTAATATGTCCATACAGTGCCTTAAAAAAGAACACTAAGTCTTTTATTTCTCTCTCGTAGCACAGGGGTAATAAGCCAAGGGCTATCAGCCGCTGCTTATATGCAATTTCTCCGCGCTTGGCTTGCAGTATCCAGGAGGTGGCTCTCCTTTGTACACGTTCCACTGTGGATCTCATTTTGATGGTAGGAGGAGACCAGACTTCGGTGGCGTAACTTATCTGGGACTTCACGAGTGACAAGTACAGTGTCCGCCTCACTGCGGTGTTAGTCAGTAGAGGGCAAGTTCTTTTCAGCATGCCAAGCATCTTGTTCCCTTTGGCGGTGATGGTATGAACATGATCGTCCCATGAGAGGTTGTAATTTATGAAGACACCAAGATCTTTTTCCTTATTCACACGAGTAAGTTCCTTTGAGCCCATGTGATATGCGTACGTCAGCGGGTTTTTTTCCTTGTAATTGTCAACACCTTACACTTCGACTGTTAAAATTGAGGTTGTTGTCACGGCTCCAGCAGTCAAGGTCTGTTAAAGCTTGTTGCAAACTTTCACAGTCACCTACTGATGTGATGGACTTGTACAGTTTGGTGTCGTCTGCATACAAAGCTGCCAAAGTCTCGTCAGGTAATATGTCGGGAAGATCGTTTATGAATATCACAAACAGAATAGGACCCAGGAGACTGCCTTGCGGCACTCCAGATGTAACTAGTAAGATGAGACTGCCTTGCGGCACTCTAGATGTAACTATCTTTGGTACTAGTCCAGTTGCTTTAGTATTCTTGTACTGGCAATGATTTGTTAATTTGACTGAAAAGTTTTTGTTGGAGTACACGTTCTATTTTAAGTGATGATATTTTATCCTGTAGCCCAATTGGCATAATTGTGGTCTAGTTGGTTACACGATTCACATGCGCATCATTACCAAACTCTCATTTTTCTTGACACATGTTTTGGAAAGCCCAGATTAAAGCGAGCATAATTTGGCGGTAACCCAATTTGGTTTCTGCCACATGCAATTTTGGAAAGCCTGGCATGACAATGATATTCTGATAGTTTATTATATCTTTTTCGGCAATCATTGTGGTCGATTGTTTCTGACTGTGTCTATAGACACCTTAAAACACGAGGGTGTCGTTATAGGCGTGAGCTTCGTAACATTTTTCTACCTGATTCAAGAAACGTTACTTTGTATTTCCATTTAAGTTAAACTTTATTTTCTAGCGTAAGAGCATAAGTGAGAACAACAGCGATGACTTTACCGGCTTCTGTTTCGTATGTTTCGACTGAAAGTTAGTGTATACAGTTTGTTAGGAAGCTGTGAAGTGTAGAAAGATTTGGCTGTTTCAGTGCTAAAATTTGGGATACTGTTTATCGCGCATGAGGCAAATTCATAAACTAACACGGCGTATACAGTATATTGTTTTGCAGTCTGGCTAACTTTTAGACAGTATTTACATTATACCTTGTTCTGACTTCATTTGGAAAAGCATCGTATTCGGAATCATACCCATCTGGGAGTCGAAATTCAGTAACAGCAACTTCATTCTGATTTTCTTCCAGGGGGGAGGAGTATAACTCATTTATCTCACTGTGGGTTACCACCTGGCTTATGTTGGCTTTAAAAGTTATTTTTGTGGCCGGAATATTAGGATCTCCCTGTAAAAGAAAAATATGATATGTCAAACTTTGCTAAATTTGGAAGGGAAGGGAAGTGAAGCGAAGAGAAGGTAACGCAAGGGATAAAAGGCAACAGAAGAGAAGGGAAGGGAAAAGAATGGAAGGGAATAGGTGTCGAATGACATGGAGTGGAGTAGAGTATCAACCGCATAGTCATCTATTACAAACTATTCATGCCTTCTACTCCCTAATTACAGTATTAATGATAGCCCACTAGTAGCAAAAACGTTTTCATCTAGTGGGTATTCCTTGTTTTGGTGAAAGAATTCAAAAGGAATAAATGAATAGCAGATGAGCCCATGGAAATTTCAAAGCCCTAACCTAATTGTTAACTAGTTTCGTGAATATCTCTACACCAGCAACAACAAATACTTACAGTAATTTTTGTGCCAATTATCTGATCCGATGAGATGTGAACCATTATAATTTCAACACCATGACTACCGTATGTGCCCTACAGAAATTATCAATGGGCAAAACAAGTGAAATGCTACAAAAAATTGTAATGCTGTAAATCAAAACTTTTCCAACACTCCCTTTATCCACATTTTGTTGTGAATGATGAAACAAATTAGGAAAATGTTATCTGAGTTGTATTTAATAAATAATTAATTTATCATCTCGTTAAAGACTAAGATTAAGAGTGTACTGTGTGAATTCATATTAGTTGTTCAGTCTCAGCTAAACATTAATACCTTATAGAGTCCTGGTGTTGGCATGAGTGATTCTGTGCTGACAGGGTCTGGCCACTGCAACCTTTCACACTCTACATTCCTAAAAGCAACCAGTTTAGATTTTTTAAAAACAACTACAACATGCAATTAGGAGTCATTTAGCCTGTTTCTTCCCACCCACCGCCTGTCTTTGCAGGCATAAGCCTGCGTACCAGGCGTTTGGTGCGGGCGTGAGAAGAGAGGGCGTCGTCGAGAAAATGCCTGCCCAAATGGCTACAGTATGACAAATGTGTTTTTGACCGAAAAACTTCGGCTTAATTCCCATTGGTCAATCTCGTTGACAGAAGTAATTATACTAACTCAAATGTCAAAAATAATTTTGCCCGCGTATATTTTTATATTCTCATAAAAAAATATGGCTCCTTCTGATATTTCAAGCCAGTCGTTTAGGCTTCAAAATTCAGTTGAAACCAGAACAGAGAAAGTCTATTATTAATTTGCTACGTGGTGAAGACGTTATTGCGATTCTTCCTACGCTACGGAATACGGAAAAAGTTTGATCTTGCAATTATACATGTACATCGTCAAATCAAAGCTTGCCACATGCCAGCACGAGTACGGATCAAATTAATATTTCTTATAATTGTCTTGTTATTTGTCCTCTTGAAAGAATAATTCAAGACCAGATAACTGAGGCTACATCAATTGGCATTACAGCTATTAAGTTGGACGATGATTTTAAGAATAACACTTCAAAACATGCTCAACTGTTATTTGTTACGACAGAATACGTTAAACAACCGTGGTTCAGGAGCCTTTTAAAGAATAAAACGGCTCTGTGTTGTCTAAGATAGCATAAAATCGCCCCAGTTGCCGAGCAAAAAAACATGCATGGTGCTAAATATAAATCTCGACTATATATAGTTGGATAATGGGTGAACCGGTGAAGGTGCTAATTATCAAACGCCAATCACCCTTAATTGGCGAAAAAACATTAGTCATAGCCATTGGGCAGGCGTTTCCTCGACGCCGCCGTCTCTTCTCCTGCCCGCACTAAACGCCTGTTATACAGGCTATGCAGGCTAAGAATCACTGTGCCAAGTCGATTTCATTTTTATTTGTTGTGACTTGTTTTGCCTCGTGCATTTTTTGAGCATGTTTTTGGGTAGCAGGCTTGTACTTAATATTGCTTCATGATAATACTGAGTGTGTAGCTTTAACCCATTTAGTTCAGTGTAGGCATCGTACTTTTCAGAAATTTGCTCTTGATCGAAGACAGAAGATTCTTCTTCGTCCGATTGTTGATATTCTTCAGAATTAACCTGCAAATGCAACAAAAACACTTGTTACTACTGAACTGTATAGTAGTTGTTGTTGTTTCTCTCTTTATTCAATTCGTTCTCTCAGAATTTATTCAGCTAATCGTATCTTAACTTATAAACTCAACAGAAAAATGTTGCTGTTTGAATAAGCAAAAACCATAAGCAGTACTCGTAACAAGAAATCTGAAATTAAAGTGTGCACATTGACATTGTTGGCAGAGCAAAATGCCACACTTACAGTAAAGAGATGTTAAAGTATCTGCCAATTCTAGACGTATAGAGGCACCTTTCTGTTGTTAATCCATTAACATTTTAATTTCTGTTGTTAAACACATTAACATAACCTTAGCCATGAGCTATAATATCCAGTTTGGGGCTTCATCATAATTATAGTACAGTAGATATAAAATGCGGTCTCCTATACGTATATCACGTCAGTCAAAACGTTGTCGCCATAAAATGTCGGATTTATAAGGGCAAGCGAATTTGCAGCACAACATTCTCTGTGTTAAGGTGGGAAATACTGCAATAGTTGTACGGATTTCCGAAAAGTATGTACAATATTCTGTTTAGTACTTGAGCTCCCAGTTGAGATAAATCACAGATTCAAAATAGTTGATTCATAAGGCCATTTTGGGGACCCGGTGATGAGATCAAGTGCGAATTATATAATCTACTATTTTATTCCGTTCACTCACTTCACTGAATTTGGGATGGTAAGTACGCTGTACACACTCGAAACTAAATCTTGGAAGTTGACCATCCTAAAGAGAAATAATTATAACACCAATCATATACTGTAATATACAGGGGGTGGACATTAAAAAGTGGCCCCATTTATAGGAAACCTTACTTATATTGGAAATTATTGACCTTATTATAGGAAATTAACGATGCACTTTATTAACGAGACATAAATTAACGTGTCATCTAATTAACGCGAATTGCTTTCAAGTACTTCTAAAACTGATTAAATTAAAGGACATTGGCAAACAAAATTTTTATTGCTTATATCTATTAGGTATACTTACGGAATACTTAATTTTATATTTTGGCCGGTTTGTGGCATTTAGTTGTTGAGAAAATGTAATAAAGAGTTCAACAGTCGGCCGCCATTTTGAAAATAAACATTTATGCCACAGCATACTATCTGACGTCATTAGCTCTGCCTCCTCCGCAGGCCCTTACTATTTGTAGATCAGTGTATATATAGACATATCAGTTTAATATATAGATCAGTGGCTGAACAAATCTGTTGTGATGCATGCTGGGAAGACGAAAAAAATTAAAATAAGGGCCTGCCAAATCGTGACTCGAAAATCTGCGAATTTACTCGAAAATCTGCAAATGGGCTAAATGCTGAGAAATACGATGAAATACGAATTCAAAATACCACCAAAAAATTCCGCTTGAAAGAAACTATATGCTCGAACACTGTAGATAGCCATAAAATATAAACTAGCGATACTCGAACAACGTAAACTAGCCATACCATACCTATATACAATATACCTTGAACAATGTAAACAATGTATGGCCATGTATCACTAAGCCATACCTTTCGCCGAATATAACTTCGGCTCCTTTCAACGTATCTTTTTCGTATTAGTCTTGTTCGAATCACAATCCAACACACTATTTAGAGTGTTATTTTCCAGCTTGTATCTGCAGATTTGTATCTTTTATTTCAGTATTCAAAAATATCTAAATTTCAGCCGGTGGCACGCGCGTGCGAGTAGAAACCTGATATTTTGAAAAATTCAAAATAAATATTTCTGCTCGTCGTATTGAAACGAAACTCTCTACATAAAATCGCTTGAATACAAGGAATATTTTACTGCTATTAACTTGGGCGAATTCTGAAGAGTTTAGAAGATATTCAAGTTTTTCTCGATATGAAATAAGAATGTTTGGCCAAGCGGCAAGTAAATATTTATATACGATCGTTTTGGTTTGTGTCCTGTTATGACGGCATTTGACCCCCCGTTCGAAAGGTTATTTTATGAGGATTTCAATGGTGGTTTTCGTTTTAAAGGGCGAGCAAATACTTGCCGAGATATTTTAATCTTCCCCACTCCAAAGTCGGAAATGCAAATATGAACCGGACGACAATCCTTCGTCCACAATTGCAGCGGTCGCCATCTTGAATGCAGGATTTGCCAGTCGCTCCGCAACTCCTCCCCTTCCCATCGTCCCGCGCGCCCCCATTAATTTTTTTTCGTCTTTTACTAATTAATTATTTGATAGCAAGCGACTGGGGACGAGGCAGTCATTAGCTGGGTAAACACAATTTCATGACTATAAAACAATACCGAGTATTACCCCGCCTACTGTAGTGCATTTTGAGCCAAAACTAAAGGCAGAAACGTTTTACCAAGTATGTACCTTATTTGTAACACTATTTCTCATAGTATACAGGGTGTATCAAAATAAACGCAATTCATCTTTTGTGCTTAAGAGGAGATTTTTTTAAAAATTGAGAAACTCGCGATCAAAAATACCGTGATGCTTTGCGAAAAAATAGTAAATTTTGTTGTTTTTTGGAACATGGCGGCAAAGGAGTGAACGTGTTTAAATTTTGCTTATTGATCTCATGAAAACTCTCTCGATGTTACATCTAAGACATGAAATGGTATATTCAGCATATTTTCCTGTACTGGAAGTTAATAAAACATCTCCACGGCGTTTTAAACAACAACAACGTGCTTCGAACTCTGGAGGTGTATACTTCGAATGCAGAAGCCAAGAAGGTACGAATATTTTAACTGCTTCAGTTCTGTTTTTATGTGGCTAGATCTTAAAAATAATTCCGTCAATAGCAACATATATGCCTAAACTTTGTGTCTTTTCTGCATCGATTTGATCTTGGCCTCAGATATTTGTATTTTGCCTTTTGAAGTGAGCGACCTTTCTTCGACTTTAAAAGCCCCATTGTCGTTCGCTCCCACAAATTATCCTGCAAATACACCTTGAAATTTATGTTGATTTCCCCAAAAAATTATTGCATGTGAAAGAGTGTTATCGTATGCCCAAATAAATCTCAATTTATGCATGTATTGAAGCGTACTGTGTTGATAAACGTCCATTTTCCTTCTGCAAACATTATTATTGTATGTCATTTTTCGCGCCAACTTACAAAATCGATTCACCTTGGATATTTTAGATATTTTTACGTTTAAACCAATTGGCGCACTGTGGGACTTATAGTACATTGTAGTACAGTCTTTGAGGATAAAAACAGTGCCTGTTTGAAGAAATTTTAGGTGAATGGTCCTCGCACAATTTTTAAAAGTAAATGTTTTAGTTTCCCATTTTCCTCACTTTTTGCTAAAATAGATGGCTTTTGTTTTGATTGTTTTAAAATACTCTACCTAATGGTTAAACATTAATAGGTTTCCTAACTATGTAGCTTTGTAATCAAGTACCATTATAATGCTGGCCAAAATCTAGAAGAAAACTCTGAAAAAAAAATTATGAAATTTTTTGATCATGAAAATGTTGATTTTCTGCCAAGTGGGCAAAAGAATGACTGAAGGCTTTACAAAATTGCAAAAATAATGCTTAATATTGATTGGCACACCGCAAGGTGTATCTACGCTTGAAGTTTATGTATTACACTTCAAAGTTAATATGGTTTGGGAAAATTTTAGGTGCATGGTCCTCGCAGAATTTAGCCATTTTCATCGGCTTTTCTTTTCGAGTTTTATTGCATTTAATTAAGGTGGCTCTATGATGTTTTGCAAGCTGTAAGGAAATATGTGCTGAAAATGCAGTATTCTTCATGATTATAAATCACTATGGATATCAAAACTTTTCTAAAGTGTATTTTAGCATTTAGGGGCTGTTTACATGAGCCTGGGTAGCCGCTTGTAGCCGGGCTGGCCCGGTTAACTGAGGCGCCCGGCTTATTACAAATTCTTTAACAAAACAATTTTAGTTTATATGTCTAGCCCGCCTAGCCGAGATCTCACTCGAGTCAAACGGGGTGCCCGGCTAACCGGGCTGAAATTTTCCCATGTAAAGTCACCAGCCCGGGTAGCCAGGCTAGCGAAAAAACTTCTGTACAAGCTACAATATCGATTTGAATTAGTATTTTTTGGACAAATAGTTATTTCTTAAGTTGTTCTTAACATGCATTTGGCTTGTGTGACAAATTTCCCCCCGCCATATTTGGCTTGATAAAGTTTCAGCCCTGTTGATTGGGCTAGCCAGGCTCACGTAAACAGCCCCTTAATGGATTTGTACACTATATGTCACATGTGGTTGCTATGGTAATGTGAATTCATTTGCTAATTATTTTCTAACAAGATGATATTTTGTATTTTTTTCTTTCCCTGCTTTTGCTAACATTAGAGCACTTTTCATTAGCCCTTAGTGTTCCTAGCACATACATGTACATCAGTCCTTGTCGTAAGCAGACAAATAATTTTCCTAAAAATTGTCCTTTTTTTATCAATTTCTTCAGGATCATTGCAATGGTAACATAATTAACCCATTAAGCTGCAGAGCTAGCATTATGTGGAACTAGCAAAACCAGTAAGTGGGATGAATTTGTTTTGTTTATATGTCAGAAAGTTTCATATAGGAAAGCTGTCACCTCTCTTGTCTTAGATCAAAATTACCTTTGCTTACCTCAGGATGAAGTAAAAATAGTTTTTTTCTGAGAATAGGCCCTTCCAAGGTTAAGGATGCCATCTTGAATATATTGTTTTCACCATTGTGTTTGTACCACCTCCCCTATAGGGAATTCCATTGTGTTTGCACCCCTTGTACTATTGTTTCATTATGGCATTGTCAACCTTGGAAGGGTCTATTGCTTTCAGTTATGGAGGCTTAACACCATATACTGAGTTGATTTGATTTCATTAACCCTTTAAGTGGCAATGCACCCCATTGTGCCTTACTTTAGTATTTTACTCTGTCTAATGCCAGATGATTTTACTCAGCATCAGGTTTGAGCAATTCAAATAGTGATAGTACTTAAAAAAGGCCTGTGCTATACATAGTGATATCTCTCTTATCAGGCAAACCCAGCTTTTGCAGGAAAATCTCCCATGTTTGAACCTCTTTCAAAATACTGCTCTTATTAATTTCATTGGAAAAAAACATAGGTGGGTGGGCATGGGCAGGAACCAATTAGATCATGTATACACATTGTAATAAATTTTCAAAAAATATCAGATTTTCTAAGAAGATCTTTTCTTGCAGGCTATTAAGAAAACATGAAACGAAACAAGATGAAATGAATATTTATTAAATTACAGATTGTGATACAAATTTAATTATGATACAAATTTATCTATTGTGTGGATATTACAAAAAGTTTATAGGATGTACAAAATACTCTGCAATGTACCAACATTTGTCATCATAATCATATCTTCAAGGTTGTAAAAGTAATATCGCAGAGATCTGTAAAAAATATACTTTCATTGTTAACTTAGAGGGAAAGAAGTATTCTTTTGTGTAGCAGTGGGATGGATTTACTTGGGGGTATTGGGGGAGGCGGTTCTTTGTGAAATAAAGTATTGGGTCTTTATGACTTTATAGACAACTTTGATTTCCAAAAATTGACATGCCTGTCTGGGGTCCATAGTGATGATGCATCCTACCTCAGTTGTTGGTCAGGCCCTAACCTGCCATCAGGCCTATAAATAAATAAATAGGCCTGAAACAAACCTAAACAAAAGTCCATGCCTTACAACCGTATTTCAGTTGTAAATCTGGTTGGTCTACGAGACAAAAGATTTTTCAATCTGTCATTTGATTGGTTGGTGTTAATTAGATTATACTGTTGTTGTTGATATATTTTATAGTGATCACAACTATAATCAGATTGTTGTTGTCGTTGTGCGAAATTTTAATTTCTCCTGTGACATTTTGATTGGATACTAAATATAAACTTTGTTGTGGGTGGAAAGTGATTGGATTAATATTTGTGTCAGGTTATTATCCGTATAATACAGCCCAATCTCAGGTTAGACCAGCCCGGGCTTAGCGACCCTCATACCACATCAAGTTATATGCATGAGGGAAAGTAGGTTGTTTCAACTATTAATTCCACTTGCAATTGTTACCTATATCCCATGAAATTTTGGTTTCCAATTACTTTAATATACTGTATACATATACTGTAAACCTCCGACTATAAAACCTGGCTTAATTTAAATACTTTCATAAGCGATTTTTGATGGGCTTATACAAGGGGGGGGGGCTTATACATGGATGATCTTTTGTGTTAGTGTTAGTAATAAACAAGCCAAACATATACAAGTCAGTCATAAACAGGAAATTAAAAATGTATTAAGCAGCAATTACTGGGCTTATATCAATTTGGGGGACTTATATTCGGGGGGGGGCTTATATTCAGGGTGGGCTTATATTTGGGATGAGGTGAGCTTTAGTACATGTGATGGGCTTATACATGGGGGGGGGCTTATATTCGGGGGGCGGCTTATAGTCGTAAGTTTACGGTACCAGTACATCACGACTCTTTATATCAGAAAGGGAACTTGTAGTGACTAGCATGGTATACCTGAAACACTGCAACAGCTGCATGTGTACAAAACAGTATGAAGTTTAAAATTACAGATACATGGACTATGTGCACTTGCAGTGAAATGTCTTTAATGTGGAAATATGCAAAAGTACCAGAGGCGAAAAACTGTTTACAAATACTCAAATTGACAAATTCTTCCTTGAAAATTCAAACAGAGTGCTTTACAATTTTGCATGTACATATATTAATGAGTTGTGAACAGGCAGGCCATCATTCAAAGAACGAAAGCAGTCACTTTCAATCAGTTTTATAACTTTTATATTAATATTATTATAGATGACGGGTTTGAATGCTCAGTGCTCACTCCTGAGTCAGATACATGTGCACATTTTATATAATAATAATTCAAATAACAGTTATTAAATACGACATTACACTTACCATGTCATCTGTCTTTATATTTGGCAATGTTTTGGCTCGTAACATAGACAAAAATTTAGTAAAATTCTGTTATTTGTCTTCGCAAATTTTGGGAAACTTTTAAAACCAAGATGGCGGCGCATTATTTTTTCGCGAAGGCCTGGCCGCTAAGCTTTGATCGCTTTTCGGAAAAAATACGCGACTTTTTAAAAAATCTCCTCTTAATAACTTTCGAAATACTATTTCTAGTTAAACGCTTTTAGGCTTACTTCAAAGCCTGTTCTTTTCTCTTTCAAACAAACTATTATCCTTGTCTCCAATGCTAGTAATAATTGCACAGGAAAAGATTTAGTAAAACCTATCATTTTTAGTTGCTGTTTAATTATGCAAGTTTACTATGTTATTGTTTAGTTGGTTTAAATGTTAGAATATTCTTCTTTAAACTTTAATGTTGTCGTCACTACATCTGGAAAACCACGTAAGAACAAATTAAAAGTATTTTAAAAGAAACCAGTTTGTTTGAAAATCCTAAACGAATGCTAAGAATCGTCAAAACATTCTGGTGTCTGAGCCAGAGTGTCATCGAATTGCGATGTAATGTAAACAGAAATTATAGCTGTCAGTCAGCTTAGATGGTCCAAGCCAAAATTATATCGCATTTGAAGTTTCAAACTGAGTTAAAAATAGTGGAAGAAAAGCCGTAATTATACTTATTGTTACAATTCATTTAATAAAATGCAACATTTTTTTGTTTTAATGAAAAAATCAGTTATTTTTATGAGAACGATTTGTTATTCTATCTCAATTTTTTTAATCTCCAATCGCAATAACGTAAAGTATTATTACCCGCGAACCAATGAGTCAAATTTAAGAAACAACCCACTGTTAGAAGGCTGAATGGCTACGCTTTAAAATGAATGTAAACTTTAACGTTTTCGTCTATTATTTGTTTAGTAATTTACATTTCAGTCGAGGATTGCGCTTTTTTTGATACACCCTGTATATCCTAATCCGTGTTCAATAAACGCAGAAATTCGAGTGTAACAAGGCAAACACTAATGCAATATTTTATGATCAATTACCTATATTGTAAATTGAGCCATTCCTTGCTTTCCCAGTCGCTCGATATGCTTTTATCTGATAGTGTAGACTTCTCTTGTTTGATTGCGAAGAGTATTGGCTAGTATAACGCTCAAAGCGACATATTTTTAGCTAAGATAACACGAACGCAATAGAATTCCCTCTTGTAGTTTTGGTGCTACCCATCTAATGACGTCACAAAGTTCATTGACCTTCGAAGGTCATTTTCCCAAGATGGCGGCGATGTCTTGTAACGCGAATAGGACAGTTTATGGTTAACAAGTTAATTTAACTAGTTACGCGAGTCGAAGAATATAAACACAACAGCAAACGTTTAAGTACTGTTTAATAAACGGGCATGCATGAGTGTTTTATTAGGTTGAAAGTCACAAGCGCGCGGCGCGAGTGGCTTTAGACCTAATAAAACACGACGACCTGCGAGTTTATTAAACGACTTCAAACACGACTACAAATTCAATAGATTTATTGCCTTATTAGTATTCTTTATATAAAGAATACTAATGAGGACACGACTACAATAAATACTGCCTTATTAGTATTCTTTATATAAAGAATACTAATTAGGAGTGTTTTATCAAATTTAAAGCCACTGCAAGTGACATATTATGGAGGACATGATTTGCCAATAAGCTTATGAATTATTAATGAGAGTTTGAATATTATATACTACCAATTAAAACAGTACGCGAGTAGATATATCAAAACTGTAACGTGGAAAGTTACATTCATTTAAGCCAACGTATATAAAATATATAGTTCAGCTTAAGATTCTGACAGTGAAGAATGAGGTAGACTTGCTCCCAAGTCTCTCTCGTCATTTAGTATCGATCCACTATGGTGTACATTACACATGTAATGTACTCTATGGTGGATCGATACCATACGACAATGAAAGAGAGACTTGGAGCAAGGCTAGTGAAGAGGTGGACTGATGTTTTTGCTTTGAATTAGTTTAATATGATGTATTTTGAGTATTTCGTGTTTAATAATATACATAAAGATATCACTCGGCTGTGATTGGCTCATTTCAGTGCAGTTAATCTCAAACAGCAGTGCAATTTTCTGTAATCACAGCGCAATTTTTTGTAATCACAGTGCAATTTTCTGTAATTACAGTGCAAAAATCTGTAACAAACTGATCTGATTGATGGAAAAACATTGTGATGATTAAATCAACCAATCAGTTTAAAGCAATTTAGTTTAAAGAAGTAACGGTCACAGATTGCTTCAAAACAAAACAAACATGGCACCGCGTGACACAAAGTTAAAGTTGCCTTCGCGTGGAAAATATCATGGCTTTTATCTTTATTTTTAAATGCAAAAGCATTTACCTTAAACAAGACTAACAAAAATTACATAGTTGAGTGGAATTTTCAAGCTGTTAGCGTTGTATAATATGAGATAACAAAGCCAGGAAAACTTTGCCAGTGGAATGGTCGCTATAAACGCGTAAGTTAAAACTACAATTGTCTCGAACATTTTTATGTAAATTATTAATAGGTATAATAGCATGGTTTCTCGTGAAATTTGGATAAACATGCACTCGTAGGTTTTTCAAAGACCTCAAATAGCACTCGTCCTTCGGACTCCAGCTATGTTGAGGTCTTTGAAAAACTCACTCGTGCATGTTATATCCAAATTGCACTAGAAACATGCATGCTATTACATATACATATAAAACAAATCAAGGTATTTTTAATTAACGATAGCTAACGAAAATTTGCATGCATGAAATTAACGATAATACAAATTAACATTAATTAAATTAACGCGAATTTTTAAAATCCGCGTTAATAAAGTGCATCATTAATTTCCTATAATAAGGTACATGTACTGTACAGACAATAATACCAGCATTGAAAACAATGAGCAATGTTAAGAAAATAGATGGTAAAGGAATACCGAATTGTTTTCCGTGCAAGATTGCGTGATCCATGCGCACGAGGGATGTCGCGAGACTTTCGGAAAGCGTAAAAATACTCGAACCGCAAGCGAGTGTATTTTTACGCTTTCCGAAAGTCGAGAAACATCCCAAGTGCATGGATCACGCTATCCTGCTTGGAAAACCATTTGGTAATTGTTTTATAAAATAACTACAGTGAAACAATGAGATTTTGAGAATCCCGCGAAGGCATTTTAATTCCTCGTGTAGGATAGCCTCATCATGCACGGCTATTGACCAATCAAATTGCGTGTTTCACTGTAGTTATTATATAAATTTTATTACCATACTTGCGAATGCCTTTCTATTTTCGAACATTTTGACTTCAATTACAATTCCACATGCTATAAGATTCTTTGGTACTTTACTTACCAAATAGATTAACTTCTCCAGAGGATGCACAGATGTTCCTGACAAACAATTTCTCACACATTTCTTGTTTTCAACTATGACTTCGAACAACTCCTTCTTTATGAATGGATTAGTGATACAATTATCTATTGGTGCATGGCACTGATAACAAACAAATCTTCCTTGGTCGACCTGGAATGAGAAAAGGTATTTGTCATTTTGTAAGGTACAGTAAAAAAATAGATTATCAGTATTTTTGTTGGACAACAAATTAAGAAGCAAAATATTATACATCTCATCGTCATCATCATCATCATCATCATCATCATCATCATCATCATCATCATCATCATCATCATCATCATCATCATCATCATCATCATCATCATCATCATCATCATCATCATCATCATCATCAATATCATCATCACCATAACTATTATCATGATTATCCTCATCCTCATTAATCATCATCATCAACATCATTATATGATCAACCATAATCACTAACACTTAATCAGCATCATAAGGGTTCCCAATAGAAGCTGGCACCTGGTGATTTTCGCAGTCTATAGACCAGATGACTGCAGGTTATTTCTCGAAAATTACAAACCAAAATATTTCCTCCATACCAGAGAAATGTCAAGGAAAAGGTTTCTTGTTTTTCTAACATAATTTTTGGACATTCAATTTTCTTTTTTAAACATTTGGGCAGGAAATGCCATTTCAAAATCACCTCTATTCCAAATTCTATTGGGAGCCCTGCATCATCATCATCATTAGATGTGTGTCATACTGTATATGTACAGTACATGCTTTTTAGGTCATTCACTTGTTTTGAAGACTCCTACTTCATTAGCTATTATTTTCCTCCAAACATGACATCCATACTGTAGGAAATATATTAAACATATTTCATCACACCTCCACAGACAAAAGTCCACCATATGGATACATACTAACTATCGACCATTTTCCAATTAAGTGACCAAACTTAAAAAGAACTAAAAGGGAGAAAATATATAATACAATTTATGTTTTTTGTTGCATCACAATTTGTGTTGCTGCATAATATACCATTGCATATTCAGTATTTTACACTGTTAATACAGGCGATTTTTGCTGTGAATTTTGTTGGCAGTTTACTGTACATATGGCAAAAATAACTGTTAAGTCAAGAAATGCATGGTCAAGGATGTAAGCTGTGATCCATATCTACTCTTGATAAGTAGTCTAAACAATAAAATAAAACAAAAATCTCAGCAAAATTCACCTGGCTAAACGGGCATACATGTCAGACGCAGAGGTTGCAGAAGCATTTCAAAAGTGGAGGGGCATCGGCCAAAAGGTGCACTTTTGTATATGCATGACCAAAACCAAACGATTTTATGTTGTTCACAAGCTGAACGAAAATTTTTGAAAATATGTCTGTATAACGTCGAACATTTATGGCCTTTACGAAGTCTTTACAATCGGTACTGCAAAAATGGCACTTTCTTTCCAACAAAAGAGGGCGTTCATTCAATAAATACTTTTCCTTTTCTTAAAATGTGGCACTTTAGCCCAGAAAAAACGGCACTTTTTTCACTTTTAAAAAAGTGGGGGGGGGGGCACATGCCCCCATTGCCCCCTCCCCCGTTTCTGCAGCCCCTGGTTAGACGATTTTACTGTGATGAGTAAATCACCTGGCATTAGGAGAGAACTCAAGATCTGTGATAGGAAATGCTGACTAACAGACATATACTGTTAAAGTATATTATTATCATGACAATCAAGATTACCGGTACAGTACCTTAATATTTATACACACTTGTAGTTAGAGCTTGACAAATGTGTCTGAGCCTGCATTCATTGATGGCCAATTACTAATACTTCATATGTTAAATCAATGTTTACAAAATATAGGCGAGGGATTGTTCAATGAATGCATTGCTAGTTTTAGAATAGTTTTGTAGGCAGCAATTTTGACTGTGAATTTTATACATTTACAGTATTAAAAGACAACTGGCCACGATCTGTAGATGTAGCTTAATTGGTTAGAGCGTTTATCGGAATCACAAGGCTGCAGGCTCAAATCTTGCCAGATGGTCTATAGTTGCATTTTTTCACAACTAAAATTTCCATCTGCAAAACCCTTCTACGATTAAAGAGTCATTGTCAACCACAATACATTTGTTTACATCTTACCTTCGGAAGCGACAAATAGCAGCAATTTTAGTAAAAAAAAGTTAAAATGAGCAAGTATAACCATAGGATGGTAGTAATATATTATGGACTGAAAACCGAAAGATATATTGCGCCATTAAAATGGCCGCCAAGCAGGTTTAGGTGCACAATGCATTGTGGTTGACAATGACTCTTTAATACTGTATAGCCCTTCCCCATACATTTACAGCCAATTCAAAAACGGTTGTCCTTTCCAAATGTTAAACTCTAAACCTTAACCCATTGAGTGGCAACACTGTCCCCCTGACGATAAGATTGTCTGGCGTTAGACAGATCGTAACAAAGTACAAAGTAACTAAGGCACATCTGGGTGAATTGCCACTTAAAGGGTTAAACTTTAGAGTTTAAGGTTTGCAATAGACAACCTTTTTTGAATTAGCTGTATACATTGGGGGGGGCTCAGATATAGGTTCCTCGGCAGCTATGATGCAGACTTTGGCAAGACAATTGTAGTTGTCAAGTGGAGAACTCTATTACAGCATGAGAGTTAACACTTAACAGTAGGAACGAATTGTTGAATTTCTATAAAATTTATAAAAACTTCAGGAACAATACAATAATTAATACCATGCTTTCCTACCGGTCTTATATAATTCCATGAAGCTATCTACGGCCCATTTATCAATGCTGTCGATGCCATAATCTAGAAAACGTAGTAAACACAATGAATACTACAAGAAACATGAAAACTGCAATCGATTTCTGCGAACCTTTTCGGCAGCAATATTGCCATGTGTCATCCATGTTGCAAATTCTACGAAAAAAAGTGCAAGTACGCGCCAAAGTGCATAAATCATGGCAACTGAGTCTTTTAAGTAAGAGAAGAACCACTTCTACCGGAAGGTTAGTTATATAATCCATTAATACGCTTTTAATAGAAGCAAGAACTGCAATTAAATTAACAAATTTTCATCGTTCCGTCTATGGTTCCGTGTCAGAAAGGAAGTTTGCTCACTTTGCTGTTTTGTGGAAAGTACTTCATGTATGCATATTGCATAATTCTAGTTTACCCACAGGGTAGTGAATGCTGCCTTGGTATAGCATTGTTCCCAAATATTTAAATGAGATTTTTGGTTTGTTACGTAACATGCGCTCAAAACTAGTGCGTATAATATACCACATCAGATTATGACTAAAATCAAAATTTGTATTTTTCGATACGTTTCTCAATCGGTAAAGAAGCCTTAAAAAGTATGTTTAGTGCTTTATCTGTAAAATAATGCTAAAATGAAGAGATTTTAGATGATACGCCAAAGAGAAAACGATGTCTGAAGTTCAGTACATTTTGCTTAAATGGCTGTAAATATAGCATCAATTTTACAGTCAATTTCAGCTGACTTTTCATCGTAAGATTCCGAACTTCGTTCCGAACTTCGCAAATTCGTTGCCAAGTTCAAGTGTTCATAATGAAATTCACAAACAGGTTTGTAAACTGGGCATTTGATTGGCCGGTTTGATTTAATAGCCATTCAGAGCCTTTGTTTACAACTTGTTTATGAATTTCATTATGAACTTTTGAACTACGCAATGAATTTGTGAAGTTCGGAACGAAGTTCGGAATCTTACGATGAAAAGTCAGCTGAAATTGACTGTGAGGCATCATTGATAATTGTATTTTAATTCGCATTTTTTTAACTATTATTTTATGTTTCTCAACCGGTAGACGCATTTAAAAAGGTAGCTAACTCTATAAACTGTGTAGAAAATAAAGCTAAAACAAAGTATTTTTGAGAGGAACGCCAAAAAGGTTTTAGGTTTTGTACACTTTTCATTGCAAATACGTGACATTGAAAAAAAGTTGCCTCTTAATATTTTAAAGAATAAGAGAAAGAAATATTCGCAATGAATTGGAATCATCCATAATTTATACACTTGAATGTGCCGTATGATAACTCGGCGCTCGAAGTTTCGTATCGAAAGAGGAACAGCCGAACAGGTACGATGACTAACAAGAATGAGTGTACTTATCAACTTATCTAACGCGAGGAAAAGATCAAAATGGCAGGTATGGTTGTGATATCTAGTATATAAAATTGTATAGACAATTTTCCCACAAATACGGTGCTATAGGTCAAAACGGCCCAAAATCAAAACGGCCCAAAGTCAAAACGGCTTCAATAATCATATGATTTAGACCAGGGGTTAAAGGGCAATGACGATACATGCAGGAGACATTTAACATGTGCGAGTGTGCGTCTCACTAAATTTGCGTGTTTAATAATGTTTATCAAAGAAGGCAAACTGTATATACAAGACAACCTCACATGTGGAATCTGTTCACTTACGCACTGCGTTGTGATGCAGTACAAGTACAAATACAATTGACAAAGAATTCTTAAAGGCTTTAAATCCTAAAACATAATTAAATCATACGGCACATTCAAGATTTTAATATCGTATTTCAGCTACGTTCATATTGCTTGGCGCGCATTTGCTGCGTTATATTAATTTATATACCTATGTTATATACATAGATTTATTACTAATAAATCAACACTATATGATAATATATAAAAACTCACAAAGGGCAGTCACCTTTTTATAAATAAACCTTTTTAAAAGCATGTCATTGTCATTGCAGGCAGAGGCAAAAAGCACAGCCACATAGGCCTACCAGATTTATTAAGCAATCGTGAGATTATATACATGAAAAGAATATGGAAATTATGTCAAAAGCAACCCGTATTATGACGAAAGCACCGCGTATAATGCTCTAACAACTGCGTATAATGGCGAACGCACCGCGTATAATGGCGAAAGCACCACGTAGGCTATAATGCTCGAACTACTGCGTATCGACAAAATGCCGTTTGATCACTTACTGAATTATAGTGGTATGTTTCGAGTATCGGCCCTGCTCATTTCAGCCGTAGAAAGCTCATTATTGAAGTCATCTTTATTGTCATAAGTGCTGCTAGATTGTGGCGAAAACACTGCAAATTCTCGAGGAAACTTTATATCATACTCCCAATGTTCGCGATCGAACCTCGCGTACGGCGCCTTAAAACTTCCAGAATACCGCTTGTAAAAAAACAAGTTGACATTATCTTCTTTTCAAACATCACATCCAAGTATTGTTTTGGCTTTTAGAACTCTTTTTATGCTTTCAACTAAAGCAAAGTTCACACTTTTGTTTCAAAAAAGAGTTCCATATAAAACACAACGTTCGTTCGTATTATGAAGTCACACGAGTTTTAGATTACATATATACGAAGAACGTAACCCCCGGAAATAAACACATTAAATGCTGTCATTCTTCTGTAATTCCAATCCTAATTCAAGTATTCAAATGCTAACATATCTTTAATTATAAAAACATTCGCATGTTTAATATCTTATTTCATATCAATATAATATAGGCAATTTAATCTTGTCAAATTGTTAATATTTGTGCGTAAATTAGTATGGAATTCACAAGAATAGATTTGAATTTATATTTTAATCTTTCGTCCGTTGCCTGAAAGCAACATTTGCATGTTTTATATGCAAAACGAACGCGGCAAATTCAAACATTCACTGGAATATTTTCAATAACGCTCAAGTAAACAATGACAATCATATTCACTACATTATTTCGCCATGAATGTGTTTAATTTAAATAACAAGTCAAATATACAATTATTCTTACCTGTAACATCTGAATAACATTTTAAGGATTTTCAGATGTATTTTCTATCGTTATTTGCCATTTAAATTGCCTGCAAATCGCTCTTTAATATTTCCATATTAACTGAACGACGCTATCCCGCGATGCTCCGCGTTCTAAAAAGTAAACTAGGTACCAGGCCTTTAGTCAATACACGAACTATTCCTGCTGCATGGATAAAAATTCCGGAGGATAAAAATTCTCTTCAACTATTCAATATACGCAATAGCACTGAAAAGAGCTCAAATTTTGGAAACTAAATAAAAACAAAGTGACTATATTACCGGCAGCTGGTCTATAAACTCTCGAAAGGTTAGGGGTCAAGGTTAGAGGAGGGTTTGGGGATCGTTTATCTTATAAAAATTCAACTTTATAACTATAGTCACTGCATGTACCGGCTAGTGCCGGCCATTTAGTATTTGCCGATAAACCGTAACCGGCTGCCGGTCATATAGTCACTTCAATTCGAAATAAAAACTACAAATTAACAAGTTAACGACTATGCTAGTGACGGACGCAATAAGATATACGCTGTTCTAAAGATTAAAGGAATACCGAATGGTTTTCCGTGCAGGATTGCGTGATCCATGCACGCGGGATGTTGCGAGACTTTCGGAAAGCGTAAAAAACACGAGCCGTAGGCGAGTGTGTATTTTTATACGCTTTCCGAAAGTCGAGCAACATCCCAAGTGCATGGATCATGCCTGCACGGGAAAACCATTTGGTAATTGTTTTATAAAATTACTACAGTGAAACGACGGTTAACTTGATTAAAACTACTGATGAAATGTGCAGTTCTCACAACAGTCGTGAATTAACCAATCAGAGAATCGCTACTCCACTCTATTGAAAACAACAACATATGTGAACACGGAATTTGATCGCCAATTCGCGAAAATATACAGCGAAAATACAGGGACTTTTTCGATAAAATATACGAAATTTGAAATGGAAAACCCGCTAAATAGAGAGACAAAGTAGTTTTGAAGATTCTCGACCTGAATATGTGATAATTGCGAAGCGTTTGCTCAACTTTGAAGCGAGAGATGTCAACACGTTCCAGAGCAAAGTGTGATATTCTATTTACTTAAAAAATGGACAAATACACCTCATACGAGAAAAATGTCCACAAATGTAAAATCTCATAATATCCTATGCTAAAAGTTAACATTTCTGTGTAATTTTGCCAAAAAACATTACGTGTTGCAAAAAAGTGCAAAAAGATCAATTTTTCCAATAGGTTTGAGTGTGATAAAACCGAAAGAAGATATCAATAGTTGGTTTGGACAAATCATGAAAAGACACTAAATAGGTCATTTTTCAAAGCACATTCACCGACATGTCGAGACCACATTTGCACATGGTGGGTAAATTAGGAATATTTTGCAAACATGTTAATAGTCGGTTTGGATAAATCCACGCCAACATGAAAAGATACTAAAAAGGTCATTTTCTAAAGCAGATATCACCGACATGTAGAGCACACATTTGGGCATGGTGGATAAATTAGGAATATTTTGCAAACATATTAATAGTCGGTTAGGATAAATCCACGCCAACATGGAAAGATACTAAAAAGGTCATTTTTCAAAGCACATTCACCGACATGTCAAGACCTCATTTGCACATGGTGGATAAATTAGGAATATTTTGCAAACATGTTAATAGTTGGCTTGGATAAATCCACGCCAACATGAAAAGATACTAAAAAGGTCATTTTCTAAAGCAGATGTCACCGACATGTCGAGACCACATTTGGACATGGTAGATAAATTAGGAATATTTTGCAAACCTGTACTTGCATGCCATGGTCTGATGAATTTCAACGCTGCGCGTTGCTACTTGCTGAATAGCAATGTATCGATCAGAAATTTATTCATACAACTAAACCAACGTCTCAATAATTAGTGGAAACTTACTTCAAAGTCGAAAGGTATCGTACAATGAAACTTTACAATGCGAGTATATTTGAAAAATTATGCGCAAGAATTTCTGTTCAGAATTTCCCGTGCATGATTGTCTGATCCTGCACCGCTGTTGACCAATCAAATTGCGTGTTTCACTGTAGTTATTATATAAAAGTTTTTCTATAACACTAAAATTTTACATTTTCTTCCTTCGAAAATTTAAGAAATAATGTCTCACTATTCTATAATTTCTTATTTTACGAATTTCATTTCTTGTTTTACAAACATATATTCTTAAAATAGGAAAATCGTGTTTTATTAAAGAAAATGCTATCAGACGCAAACTAAGAAATCATAAGAAAAATTTTCTCATTTTAAGAAAATAGATGTAGTCTAAATTAAGTTAAGAAGTTTTCTTATTTCAAGACAAAAATGTCTTGGGATTCAAGAATTTTTTTATTTTAAGAAAATTTTTTCTTATTAAGAAAATTATTTTCTTATTGGCATTCGACCCCCCGTTCGAAAGGTTATTTTGTGAGGATTCCAGTGGTGTTGTTAGTTTCAAAGGGGGGTAAATACTCGCAGAAATATTTACATTCAAACATTGACTCATATTATGTAATACAATACCGTCGGTCGATAAAGAGTTAA